ATTGGCTATTTGAACTCCATGTACATGTGAGTGTGAAAGTGCTTGGAGGCTGAATGGAAAAGGCAATGATGAGAGAATTGTTATAATCACTGAGGCAGAACTATGACCTCATTTCATCCTGAGATTGTAGCTTAACTGGGGAAGTCAAAGAAACAAAGTAAGTAGGACATTTTCTCAAGCCTACTTCAGCTTTATGAATCCTGATTTTGATAAACATATTTAAATTTGTGGTAATTCTCTAGAAGCTGCTTTTACTGTTTTCCAAAAGTGTGGTAGGTAGAAAGAACATTGAACTAGTAATAGGGAGACAGGTTCCAGGACTTGCCCTGCTACTAATTTAGAATTTTTGATAAATATGCTAAATTAACCTCAACAAAACATACATTACAAAAGCTGTGTAAAAGGAACAGCACTAGGTAATATGATGGATACAAAAATGATTAAGGTAAAATACCTCTCTTCTCAGAGCTCAGAAATCAAGTGTGGGAAGAAATATTTATCCTCAAGTGATAATGAGGCATAGTGTGCTAAGAACTGAAAGAGCAAAGAGCAGAGAGAGAAAGAAATAAGAAAAAAATAACTTAGATGAAAGGCATTAGATATCTAAAAATTGTGTGTCGGAAAAGTAATTTCAGTAGAGTTTTGAAAGATGAAAGGTATTTTGCTAGTCAGGCATAAGAAAGTAGTGCACTTTAGAGAAACAAAACCACAAAAGCAAATGTATGGGGTAACAGTTTCAGTGAGGCCTGAGTTCTGTTTTTAGTTTTGAGACAGAGGAGAGAGAAACACTGTGGATATAAGACAGTAAATTGATGGGGAGTAAATCACTAAATGCTTTCAATTTCTAGGTGGTGAAGATGATCTACTCTTAAGCAATAAGCAATCAATGACAAGCTTGTGAATATGACAGATACAATAAAAATAACAACAACAACCAGTAACAACCCATTAATGTATTGCAAAGTCACAGGATACAGAAATCAAGACATGCTTTTTCTGAACAAGGCAGGTGCAGTCAGCCTAGAATTTCCTAGAAATTCTTAAATCATTTACTGATGCCTAGAAATGGAGGATGGTTAAACAAAACTTTATACAGGATCGATCGATAGGATTTGGCATAATGTAATTAGAAGAGAGAAGTGAAAATTTTGTGGACCGCTTATTACATCTGTGACTTTAAAACTATTTGTGGAGGGCATGATTCCAACATGTATCTCAACAATCAAGTTGGATTAAAGGAGAGGCTCTTGTGTGTGTCTCTACAATGAACTCTGTGAGTTACTGGGTTTGTATACAATTTTCTTTGGTAGAAGTTTTCTGCTAAATATAAGAAACAAATAAAATTTGCAAATTTCTGTGATAAATTAAATGTTTAGACCATGATGATGTTCAAGGATACTTGCAATTCAAATATTCTAAGTATCATTTTTCCTGTCATGCTATGTAGGAAGTCACTAAAAATAAGTCACCAAGGTGTCCCAAAGGCCCTGTGGAAACCTTAAGTCATTTACTGATGCCTAGAATTTCCTGGTTGTCTTATTTGATCTGATACTGCAGCAATCAAACTTGTAGCATTGAATAAACAGAAGTTATATGACATTAAATTTAGGAAATGTTAGATAAGTCCTTAATTTTAACAATGTTTTTCACTGGAGAAATATAATAACCAATATTAACAAATGTATTGAGCATCTGTACTGAATGCATCTAAAAAAGAAATAGAATGATGCTGAGTACTTTAGGTTTTCTTTGGGAAATTTGGAGAAACTACAAGTAGACAATGTTTCAAACATCTTAAAATAGTTTTAAGTGATAATTATTGTCCCTTTTACCACCAACATTTATGACTCTCCCAATTTTTTATTTTGTTTTTAAGTTTTCTACTTTAAGAGGTTATAGTGGCTCATATTTATCAAGTTTTAACTGTTTTCTGTTTTTCTGTTGATTCAGTTACTGCTAAGTCTTTTGGTTCAATTTAGACTCCTTTTGGATATGGGAACATAATGGAGTGTGAGGGCTACTACAAATCAACTAAAATCATAGATCCAAAGCCCATTCTGCCCATTGGTTTTGTAGGGAGGAGGGTTGACTATATTGTTTTTGAATGTCAAGGTTCAGGAATGTCAGGTTGGTGTCTTTCATAACAGACCTTGAGAAAACGTTTTAGTGCAGGTAGTTTATTTGAAATGTGACTGCAGGAGACACAGAAAAGGAAGAAAGCTAACGTAGGATGTGCTATTGACGTTACCACAGCAGGCAACAGAAGTTCAATCCTGCTAGGGACCTAGGGAGAACAAAGAAAATACCTCAGAGCAGTTCCACCAAAGGGGCAAGGAGGCAGAAATATTATTAATTTTCATCTGTCTGTTATTGATTAATTATTGACCAAAGTCTTCTCCCAGGGGCACGAAATCCTGGCATTTCCAGCTGGACTCTGCCCTTTCGGGTCAAGCAGGGTGCTATGGCCAGAGAAAGTCCAGAGGCAGAGTCACAGGTGTTTGCAGCAGAAAGCTTTTGATCTATGTGGAAATGGTGGCCACCATGGGGAAATGGGCAGAGGGCCTTCTCGATTCCTTGTGACTCCAAAACATATTTGAGAAAAGTTTATTCTCTCATAGGTCTTAGATTTTGTTCACTATTCAATTTTATCTACCTGAGTTGCCCTCACTCTACTTTCCTCTGGACAAATAGTAATTTGCACCTAAATTTCAAATGAAATATACTTCTTTGTAAGAGGGTAATATCCAGAATAAAATTAAACATGATAATTTAGCACTATCATTTTAAGTATTCTTCAAATATTCACAACATGACATTTTAAATAGCATATCTCTCAGTATCTCATCTTTACTTCCTTCTCTGACTGAGAAAAGTCCAATCCAAATGTACTCTATTCTAGGCACTTTCAATAATTGGAACATTTCAGTTAGGAAAGCAATCATGATTTTCAGCAGACCCCATATAAAACTTTTAAGATTATTTAAATATTATCCATTACTATAGACATCAAAATATAAAAGCAATTAGATCTCTAAGTATGTTCATGGCAAAGGCGATTTTACTTTCTTAAGGGATTTGAGAGGTTTTAGGAAGCCTATGTGGAAAATATGTTCAGAGACTGACCCACCTACCACCACCACCACCACCTGCAATGCAGTACAGCAGAAGAAAGGACAGACAAATGATCTGCTACTCCATACTCAAAGAAATATCCTTAGGGTAGCAGAGACTGAGAAAGGGTTTTGAAAATTCAGAGTTTTAGTTCTTTTCCTTTCCAAAGACGGCAAATCCAGTGAACATGGACTTCCACTCCTCTCTTTCTCAATTGCTACAGATAATACAACTTAATCCTAAAGATACGTTTCCATACATTTTCTGTAAAGAGACAGGGAATAAATAGTTCAAGCTTTGCAGCCAATGTGGTTTCTGTCTACTCAACTTTGCTGTTGTAGTGCAAAGCAATGACAGACAATACATAAAGAAGTGATTGTGCTGTATTCTAGTAAATCCTTATTTATAGGCAGTGAAATTTGAATGTTATATTATGTTCTTATATCACACAGTATTCTTCTATTTATTTTTTCATCCATTTAACAATGTAAAAATTGTTCCTAGCTATATAAAAATAGGGGACAGTCTACAGTCATCCCATGGGCCATAGTATGCCAACCTCTGTCCTAGTACAGTCACTTCATTTTGGAAACAAGAAAATAGGGTAAGCAACCTGCTTACGAATACATGAATGTTTTGTGGCAGAGCCAGTCAGTTTGTGTCAAAGTATCTTAAGGCTGGTCCATACTGGCTTACCTTTAATGACAAGTACCAAACAACATACTCCCTTTTACTTTGATTAATACATTATTGAAAAGGATCAGACACACATCAAAATGAACTTCCTCATGGATCATTTTGATAGATATTTATATTACTTAAATCCTGCAAAATAAAAGCAGATGAACTATATACACATATATACATGGACTTTTTAATTACTTTCTAAATAGCACATAATATTCCAAATAGAAGATATAAGACATAAACATATATTTTTAAAAGCAGATATAAGAAATGGTCAATCTTTCTGACTTGAGTGCTAAGTTAATCATCATTTTGAAGACTCACAAGCAACATATACAGGGGAAATTGAGCTTTAATAGCAACACCAGTATTTGAAATATATACACAATGAGATACCGTTCAGCCTTGAAAAAGAAGGAAATCCTGCCATTTGTGACAACATGGATGAACCTGGAAGATATGACATTAAGTAAAACAAGCTAGACACAGAAAAACAAATATTGCACGATCTCATTTACATCTGAAATCTAAAAATAGTGAACTCATACAAGAATAGAATGCTGATTACCAGGGGCTGGGTGGGGTAAGTCAGGATGATTGGGAGATGTTGGTCAAAGTATACACAATTTCAGTTAGATAGGAAGAATAAGTTCAAGAGATCTGCTGTACAACATGAGGGCAATAGTTAATAACAATGTATTATATACCTGAAAATGGCTAAGAAAGTATATTTTAAGTGTTCTTACAACAAAGATTAAGTATGTAAGGTAATACGTGTATTAATTAGCTCAGGCTAACCATGCTACAATGTATGCCTATTTCAAAATATGTTGTATACCATAAATATATACAATTTTTAATTGTAAATTAAAACATAAAGACCAACAAGCAATATCTACATGAGAAATTTAGCTTTATTAGCAATACTGTTATTAGAAATACTGTTGTCGTTTAAATTATATTTCATTTTACCACAAATATACACCTGCATGTTAAAAGTGAACCAATTCCAATATTTGCAACCAAAGTCCACTTTCAAGAAACACTCATAATTCAGAAATGAAGTATGTTATACTCAGAGAATAGATTGCATTTTAAAGGAAAATGAAATATAGAAGGCCTATTAAATTAAATTATTATTCCTCAGAAATATTCCAAAAGATGAAATAATAGTTATCAAAATTCTACATGAGACAAAGAAATATTTTGGAAAAAAATTTTATTTATACTTCTTCATCGTAGAAGCACCCTTGGTGGAGGAAGACATACTTTTTCTTATGAGCTTAATATTTTCACGGACAAAGTTATGCAGCTGAACTGGCATGTAGTCAAATGTCTTGTTAGTAGCATCAATTTTGGCTTTTGCATTTATTGGTGGCATGGTAGTTGGAGGTAATCCATTGATCTTATACATCCGGAACATTTCTTCTGTCTGGAGGCAAAGAAAGACAGAAATTTTATTTGAAATATCCAGGGACTTCAAAACATGTAGAGAAAAGTTCACTATACTTAACATCTTCTGTTTTCCATGTAGAGTATGGGAAAAGTACAAAACTGAAACCACTTATAGTGACAATTATTGTGGAAAATAAAGAAAGTAATTCACTTTATGCACTAAGAATTATTTACTAAAAAAAATCTCTCAGTGATTCTCCCTGTAGGTAAACTAGGCATGTGTCTGATAATAAGGGAAAGCTATCCATTTGGTTTGCATAAGACTGTTGTCCAGTATGAACCTCAACTAATGGAAACAATACCTTCCTAGATAAACACATTTATGAGAATTTAAGTGCAGCCACAGAAATGACTGGTAAAATATATTTAGCTGCTTGTGGATTATGAAAGTACACAGTATGTATAACCATTTTATTTTTATTTTTTAGACAGGGTCTCACTCTGTCACCCAAGCTGGAGTGCACTACCTTGGCTCACTGCAACCTCCACCACCTGGGTTGAATCAATTCTCATGCCTCAGCCATGCAAGTAGCTGAAATTACAGGTATGTGCTAACATACCTGGCTAATTTTTCTATTTTTTAAAAAATATTTGTTAGTTTTTAAGTTCTGGGGTACATGTGCAGATCTTACAGGATTGTTACATAGGTATGCACATGCCATGGTGGTTTGCTGCATCCATCCCCCAATTACCTACATTAGATATTTCACCTAATGTTATCCCTCCCCAATCTCTCCACCCCTTGCTATCTCTCCCCTAGCTCCCCACCCACCGGCAGACCCCAGTGTGTGATGTTCCCCTCTCTGTGTCCATGTGTCCTCATTGTTCAACACCCACTTATGAGTGAGAATATGTGGTATTTAGTTTTCTGTTCTCATGTCAGTTTGCTGAGAATGATGGTTTCCAAATTCATCCATGTCCCTGCAAAGGACATGAACTCATCATTTTTATGGCTGTATAGTATTTCATGGTATATACATGCCACATTTTCTTTTTCCAGTCTATCATTGATGGGCATTTGGGCTGGTTCAAATTCTTTGCTATTGTAATCGGTGCCACAATAAACATACGTGTGCATGTGTCTTTATAACAGAATGATTTATAATTCTTTGAGTATATACCCAGTAATGGGATTGCTGGGTCAAATGGTATATCCATTTCTAGATCCTTAAGGAGTCACCACACTGTATTCCACAATGGTGGAACTAATTTACACTCCCACTAACAGTGTAAAAATGTTCCTATTTTTCCATATCCTCTCCAGCATCTATTATCTCCAGATTTTTAAATGACCACCATTGTAACTGGCGTGAGATGGTATCTCAATGTGGTTTTGATTTGCATTTCTCTAATAACCAGTGATGATGAGCATTTTTTCACGTTTGTTGACTGTGTAAATGTCTTCTTTTGAAAAGTGCCTGTTCATATGCTTCACCCACTTTTGATTGGGTTGTTTTTTCTTGCATATTTGTTTTAGTTTTTTGTAGATTCTGGATATTAGCCCTTTGTCAGATGGGTAGCTTGCAAAAATATTTTTCCATTCTGTTGGTTGCCAGTTCACACTAGTGATTGTTTCTTTTCCTGTTCATAAGCTCTTAAGTTTAATTGAATCCCATTTTTCTATTTTGGTTTTTGTGACCATTGCTTTTGGTATTTTAGTCATGAAGTCCTTGCGTATGCCTACGTCCTGAATGGCATTACCTAGGTTTTCTTCTAGGGTTTTGATAGTGTTAAGTCTTATGTTTAAATCTTTAATCCATCTAGATTTAATTTTTGTATAAGGTGTAAGGAAGGGGTCCAGCTTCAGCTTTCTGCACATGGCTAGCCAGTTTTCCCAACACCATTTATCAAACAGGGATTCCTTTTCCCTTTGCTTGTTTTTGTCAGGCTTGTCAAAGATCAGATAGTTATAGGTGTTTGTCATTACTTCTGAGTCCTCTGTTCTGTTCCATTGGTCCATATCTCTGTTTTGATACCAGTATCATGCTGTTTTGCTTACGGTAGCCTTATAGTATAGTTTGAGATCAGGTAGCATGATGTCTCCAGCTTTGTTCTTTTTGCTTAGGATTGTCTTGGCTATGCAGGCTCTTTTTTGGTTCCATATGAAGTTTAAGGTGTTTTTTTTTCTAGTTCTGTAAAGAAGGTCAATGATAGTTTGATGGGGATAGAATGGAATCTATAATTTATTTTGGGCAGTATGGCCATTTTCATGATATTGATTCTTCCTAACCATGAATGTTTTTCCGTCTGTGTCCTCTCTTATTTTGTTGAACAGTGGTTGGTAGTTCTCCTTGAAGAGGTTCTTCATGTCCTTTGTTAGTTGTATTCCTAGGTATTTTGTTCTATCTGTGGCAATTGTGAATGGGAGTTTGCTCATGATTTGTCTCTCTTTAAGTCTGTTATTGGTGTAGAGGAATGCTTGTGATTTTTGCACATTGATTTTGTATCCTGAGACTTTGCTGAAGTTGCTTATGATCTTACAGAGATTTTGGGCTGAGATGATGTGGTCTCCTAAATATTCAATCATGTCATCTACAAATAGAGATAATTTGATTTCTTCTTTTACTAATTGAATACCCTTTATTTCTTTTTCTTGCCTGATTGCTCTGGCTAAAACTTCCAATACTATGTTGAACAGGAATGGTGAGAGAGGGCAACCTTGTCTAGTGACAGTTTCCAAAGGGAATGTTTCCAGTTTTTTCCCATTCAGGATGACATTGGCTGTGAGTTTGTCATAAATAGCTTTTATTATTTTGAGATATGTTCCATCAATACCTAATTTATTTGAGTTTTTAGCATAAAGGGCTGTTGAATTTTGTCAAAGGCCTTCTCTGCATCTATTGAGATAATCAAGCAGTTTTTGTCTTTGGTTCTATTTATGTGATGGATTACATTTATAGATTTGCGTATGTTGAACCAGCCTTGCATCCTTGGGATGAAGCCTACTTGATCATGATAGATAAGCTTTATGAGGTGCTTTTGCATTTGGATTGCCAGTATTTTATTGAAGATATTTGCTTTGATGTTCTTCATGGATATGGGCTTGAAATTTTATTTTTTAGTTGTGTCTCTGCCTGGTTTTGATATCAGGATGATGTTGGTCTCATACAATGAGTTAGGGAGGATTCCCTCTTTTTGTCTTGTTTGGAATAGTTTCAGAAGGAATGGTACCAGATCCTCTTTGCATGACTGGTAGAATTAGGCTGTGAAACCATCTGGACCTGGACTTTTTTTGGTTGGTAGGCTATTAATTGCTGCCTCAACTTCAGACCTTGTTATTGGTCTATTCAAGGATTCTGCTTCTTCCTGGTTTAGTCTTGGGAGGGTGTAAGTATCCAGGGATTTATCCATTTCTTCTAGGTTTATATGCATAGAGTTGTTTGTAGTAATCTCTGATGGTAATTTGTATTTCTGTGGAATTGGTGCTGATATCCCCTTTGTGGTTTTTTTGGCATCTATATGATTCTTCTCTCTTTTCTTTTTTATTAGTCTGTCTGGCAGTCTGTCTATTTTGTTGATCTTTTAAAAAGCCAGCTCCTGGATTTATTGATTTTTGAAGGGTTTTTTTGTGTCTCTATCTCCTTCAGTTCTGCTCTGATCTTAGTTCTTTCTTGTCTTCTGTTAGCTTTTGAATTTGTTTGATATTGCTCCTCTAGCTCTTTTAAATGTGATGATAGGGTGTTTATTTTAGGTATTTCCTCACTTCTCTTTTGGCATTTAGTGCTGTAAATTTCCCTCTAGATATTGCTTTAAATGCATCCCAGAGGTTCTTGTATGTTGTGTCTTCATTCTCATTGGTTTTGAAGAATATCTTTATTTCTGCTTTCATTTCATTATTTATCTAGTAATCATTCAGGAGCAGGAGCAGGTTGTTCAGTTTCCATGTAGTTGCACGGTTTTGAGTGAGTTTCTTAATCCTGAGTTCTAATTTGATTGCTCTGTGGTCTGAGAAACTGGTTGTTATGCTTTCTGTTCTTTTGCATTTGCTGAGGAGTGATTTACTTCCAATTATGTGGTCAATTTTAGAGTAGGTGTGATGTGGTGCTGAGGAGAACATATATTCTGTGGATTTGGGGTGGAGAGTTCTGTAGATGTCTATCAGGTCCACTTGGTCCAGATCTGTGTTCAAGTCCTGGATATCCTTGTTAATTTTCTGTCTCGTTGATCTGTCTAATATTGACAGTGGAGTGTTAAAGTCTCCCATTATTATTGTGAGGGAGTCTAGGTCTCTTTGTAGGTCATTAAGAACTTGCTTTATGTATCTGGTTGCTCCTGTATTGGGTGCGTATATATTTAGGATAGTTAGCTCTTCTTGTTGCATTGATCCTTTTACCATTATGTAATACCCTCCTTTGTCACTTTTGATCTTTGCTGTTTTAAAGTCAATTTTATCAGAGACTAGGATTGCCCCTGCTTTCTTTTGCCCTCCATTTGCTTGGTGAATCTTCCTCCATCCCTTTATTTTGAGTCTATGTGTGTCTTTGCACATGAGGTGGGTCTCCTGAATACAGCACACTGATGGGTCTTGACTTTTTAATCCAATTTGCCAGTCTGTGTCTTTTGATTGGGCATTTAGCCCATTTACATTTAAGGATAATATTGTTATGCGTGAATTTTATCCTGCCACTTTGATACTAGCTGGTTGTTTTGCCTATTAGTTGACACAGTTTCTTCATTGTGTCAATGGTCTTTACCATTTGGTACATTTTTGCAGTGGCTGGTACTGGTTGTTTCTTTCCATGTTTAGTGCTTCTTTCAGGAGCTCTTGTAAGGCAGGCCTGGTGGTGAGAAAATCTCTCAGCAATTGTTTGCCCATAAAGGGCAAAACTTATGAAGCTTATGAGGCTCCTCCCCTTATGAAGTTTAGTTTGGTTGGATATGAAATTCTGGGTTGAAAGTTCTTTTCTTTAAGGATGTTGAATATTGGCCCCCACTCTCTTCTGGCTTGTAGGGTTTCTGCTGATGAATATGCTGAGTCTGAGGGGATTCCCTTTGTGCATAAACCAACCTTTCTCTCTGGCTGCCGTTAGCATTCTTTCCTTCATTTCAACCCTAGTGAATCTGACAATTATGTGCCTTGGGGCTGCTCTTTTTGAGGAATATCTTTGAGTTGTTCTCTGTCTTTCCTGGATTTGAATGTTGGCCTGCCTTGTTAGGTTGGGAAAGTTCTCCAGGATAATATCCTGAATAGTGTTTTCCATCTTGGATTCCTTCTCCCTGTCACATTCAGGTATACTGACCAAATATAGATTAGGTCTTTTCACATAATCCCATTGTTCTTGGAGGCTTTGTTCATTTCTTTTCACTCTTTCTTCACTAATCTTGCCTTCTCATTTTATTTCATTGAGTTGATCTTTAATCTCTGATATCCTTTCTTCTGCTTGATTGATTCAGCTGTTGAAACTTGTGTATGCCTCATGAAATTCTTGTGCTGTGTTTTTCAGCTTCAAGCAATTTACATTCTTCTCCAAGCTGGTTATTCTAGTTAGCATTTCATCTAACCTTTTTTCAAGGTTGTTAGTTTCTTGGCATTGGGTTAGAACATGTTCCTTTAGCTCAGAGAAGTTTGTGATTACCCACCTTCTGAAGCCTGCTGCTGTCAATTTGTCAAACTCATTCTCCATCTGGTTTTGTTCCCCTGCTGGTGAGGGGTTGTGATCCCTTGGAGGAGGAGAGGCCTTCTTGGTTTTGGTAATTTCAGCCTTTTTGTACTAGTTTTTTCCCCGTTTTCATGGATTTATCTATCTTTGGTCTTTGAAGTTGGTGACTTTTGAATGGGGTCTATGAATGTATGTCCTTTCTGTTGATGTTGAGTATATTTCTTTCTGTTTTTTAGTTTTCCTTCTAACAGTCAGGCCCCTCTGCTGCAGGACTGCTGGAGATCCACTCCAGACTTTGATTGCCTGGGAATCACCCATGAGGGCTGCAGAACTGCAAGGATTGCTGCCTCTTCCTTCCTCTGGTAACTGTGTCCCAGAAGGGTACCTGCCAGATGTCAACCAGAGCTCTCTTGTATGAGGTGATTCTTTGGATATACGGAGTTCAGGGAGCCACTTGAGAGCCAGTCTGTCCCTTATCAGAGCTCAAGTGCTGTGCTGGGAGCTCCGTTGCTCCCTTCAGAGCTGCTGGGCAGGGATGTTTAAGTCTGCTGCAGTAGAACTCACGTCTGCCCCTTTTCCCAGGTGCTTTGTCCTGGGAATGGGGGTCTTTATTTGTAAGTCCTTGATGTGCTGCTGCCTTTTTTCAGAGATGCCCTGCCCAGCAATAAGGGAGTCTAGTCACAGTCTGCCTATAGAGGCATTGATGAACTGCTGCAGGCTCCACCCAGCTGCTGTGTAAACTTCCTCGCAATTTTGTTTACACAGGTAAGGTTAGAACTGTCTCAGAAATGGCAGGCTGCCTCGGTAATGGCAGATTGCCTCAGTAGTGGTGGACTACCTTGGTGTGTGTGTGCATGTGTATGGAATTTGTTCATACTCTTCATTCCAAAAAGCTATACAATACTAATAGGCTTATTTTATGAAATAAAAGTTGAACATTACAGTTTTACATATAGCCAAATTTCTTCAGTCTAACTGTAAATAAAAGGAACTATCCATGTATATTTAGAAAAACATTTTAAAGATAATAACTTTATATCTTCTGTCCCCAATCTCCCATTGAAAATATAAATACAAAAAAGAAGTTAAAATAATATAAGAATAAGTTAATACTTCCATATTACTAACATCTCATAGAATTACTGCATTGATTTTTTACAAAAGAATGCCAAATTGACAATTATATTTCTTAACTATTTCTTTAAAGAAATAAAAAAAAATAAACAGATGAAACTTCCACATTTGGATTGTGTCTCTGTGTTCTGAAAAGAGATCAGCCAAAGTGAATGATCTCATGAAATGAATAATCAAAGTTGTTGCATATTTCTTTTATTTCCAAAGTTACCATTAAGAAAACCCTATTTTTAAGGCTTAGTTATGCGAATGGAAACAACTGATAATTATCCATTAGCACATGTTGTCTGTGTCCACCCACAACCCTCAGATATTTTCATATCACTGCCTGCCTCAACTTTCAATTGTGAGATTGAAAGTTGTCTTTAGCCTGAAAGCCCTTATTGTAAAATATGTGTGAAACTTTATAGAACAATTTTGCATCTCTTTTGCTCAAGATTGTTCAGAAACCCCAGAAGGCTTCTCTACTGGTGCCATAGTTTGAACAATCCCTGAGAGCATTCTTCAATCAATGATTGGAATAGTGGCAGTTACTGTATAAGTAACCAAACTTTCTTAATCTTTCAGCTGTGAAAACTCTGAGTTATGCGTTCCACACCATTTCCCAGAGATCTTCCATGGAATTTGTTTCTAGTTGCTCACTGTGGCAGATGCCTGGATAAATTTCTTCCCCTTCCCTATCTCACATCCTGTCCTCCCTACATCTGTTAATTGAGTTCACATAGTAAATATGCTACTTGGATTTCAATCCTTATTTCAACATCTGCTTCTGAGGAAATACAAACCAAGTTATTTACAATGCCATTTCCCACAGTTTCATGCCTAATGATCTATTCCTTTAAAAGCAAACAGGAACTATCAATGTTTGGTTATGTCTCTAGTTATAACAGGAATATCTCTATATAAATATTACTTATATAAATACTATATTACTTATATATTATAAATGAAATCACAATCATATAATCTTATATATTACTGTATACAATATATGAATAATTTATATAAGTATAAAGCTAAGGCATCATATAGTTTATATTAGACAATTATAATGCTCACATTTTCATAAACTAAGATTTATCACATCCACCAATGGAAAATTGAGCAGATTTACTACTCTCTTTGAGTAGCACTGCTTTCTGTAAAACAGACTAAATAAGTAAACTTTAGTCTCTCAAAGCTAGCGCTATATATCTTGTTTACTAGTGGGAAAAGATAGCTTTTAATAACTTCAAGTGTGATTTAATGAAATGAGAAATTGTGAAACTTGTGAACAAGATTATTGAAGTTCGTTTGGGCTAATATTTAATTAACATGTTCTTTAATCATTTTTATTTCCAAGTGAAGCAAAACGAAGATCATATAGTTACAAACATTGACTTAACACTTAAAATCATTCATTTAAATGGATTCTTCAATCATTTTGATGATAATGCAAATAATATTTTTGATTTAGATAATGCTTTAATGACTTAATGGTTCTATTTATATAATGTTCTAGAAATTATAAGATTAGTGGTTGTCAGGGGAAGGGCAAGAATTACAGTGTTGGATATGCTTAGCACAAGGTAACCCTTTATAGAGAAGGTGGGGAAGGGAGTGGGCATATAGGTGAAGCAGAATTGGCCATAAGTTGATAAATGTTCATACTGGATAATTAGTGCATGGAGATGAATTATGCTATTTCTGCACATATTTGGAATTTTCAATAATAAAAGTAGAATTCAGAAAATCATGATTTTTTTAATGTTTCAAACTCAATTTTCCCTAAATAAACTTTATCAAATTGTACCACTTCAGGCTAAAAAATGGCATATTCTCTGTTGTTTCCATGTAACAACTTGTTCCCTCACATAAAATCTTTAATTGTGTTGCCAGTAATTTTGTCAAATCGACACAGAGAAATCGGGCACAGGTTTTGTTGGTAAAGCCTTCTGTTAATTGCAGAAGTGTCTACTGTATGCTAGATAAAAATGAACATAATTTTAATTTGAAAATATTTTTAAAGATGCCATTTAATCCCCTTAAAGCAAACAAGCAAGTACGATATGGTCACTTTAAATTATGTATCAATATAGGCAACAGGGTATGTGCAAAATGTCAACAAACACTTTACCTTCTTACTATGTACATTGTAAGGATTCTTTGAAAAATAAAAAAAATAGAAATAACTTCCTTAAACAATATTCAATATTTTTACTCTGTTCATTAAAATAATATTTTTTTCTGCCTATGGTACTGCCTAATTATTGCTTTATTCAGAAATCTAGAAATCACTTTTGCACCAGGAGTTGTGTGTATATGACAACATGCTCTGTGTCCCTTTGCTATTGAAAGTAGACAGTGGTAATAGATATCTTTTCAGAAATGGTTTGAACATTGTACTTAGACTAGAAATTCTTACTATAAAATATGTGTGAAATGTTATAGCTCAACTTTGGTTCCTGAATAAATGTTCAAAATTGTATTTACCTTAACTGTTAATAAAATGATCACTTTAACAGATAATTAATGGCTCACATCATGTTTTTCAATTCAAAATAAATGTTACCTTCTATTCCTTTTTTATGTTAGACTTCAACATCTTGACAATACTCTGTCTTAATTAAAGGCTCCAAAATCCCTATCTTGAATAAACTAAAGTTAATGAAGTCCTTGAATAGGTATGCTACAGAAAGTGATACATAACTATACAAATCACTTTACAGTCATTATTTGTTTCTTCCACAATTCCTTAATATGGAACGAAAAGTATTTTTTAAACTTTCCTCTAGTGTTGATAATTTTTTTGTTCTATACCATACTTAAAATACTGCTCTTGGACAAAAGAAGAGTAAGCCTAGAGAGAGCAGTTGAGATAAGTTGACTTTTTAACACAGCAAAATTGTTATTCTTTACCTGTAACCATTTAGTAAAACCTTTTCTTCCTAGTTTGTTTAGTGTCTCTAGTTGCATCAAACATCCTTGACTACTGCCTTTATAGAACTCACCTGTATTACTAATGTTGCTTTATATTTCCTACAGTACATTTTAGGTTTAAATCCTACAATGATTGGAGTTCCGTTTGTGTTAAAAGGAAGAAGTTTTCCAACCTCTGGTCTTACAGAAAACTCAGGATCACTGCCAGGTAGGAAGTATGCAGTGAATGGCTCAGGATATCTGGAACAAAAGTACAAAATTCAGCTTATTAAACTTGATCATTATCTCATTCTCTTTGTGAGAACTTGAGTAGAATTTAAATCATGCTACAATAGGCCTAGGTAAATATGAATGCTGAATGCTTACCAAATAATAGTGAGGAGGCATTTTTAAAAAATTACTGAAAAGAGTTATTCTTCTCAGGGTGACAAAATGAAAATTCTAAAGGTTTTTAAAGTCACATCTTACATTTTTAATGCACAAAGAAGCCAGGTACAGTGGCTCATACATACAATCCCAGAATTTTGGGAGGCCGAGGCAGGTGGATCACTTGAGGTCAGGAGTTGAAGACCAGCCTGGCCAACATGACAAAACCCCATCTCTACTAAAAGTACAAAAATTAGTTGGGCATGGTGGTATGTGCTTATAATCCCAGCTACTCAGGAGGCTGAAGCAAGAGAATGACTTGAACCCAGGAGATGGAGGTTGCAATGAGCCCAGATCATACCATCGCACTCCAGCCCAGGTGACAGAGTAAGATTGTTCGGTGGCTCACACTTGTAATCCCAGCACTTTGGGAGGCCAAGGCAGATGGATCATCTGAGGTCAGGAGTTCAATACCAGCCTGGCCAACATGGTGAAACCCCATTTCTACTAAAAATACAAAAAAAAAAAATAGCAAAGCATGGTGGTGTGTGCCTGAAATCCCAGTTACTCAGGAGGCTGAGACAGGAGAATTGCTTGAACCCAGGAGGCAGAGGTTGCAGTGAGCCGAGATCGCACCATTGCACTCTAGCCAAGGCAACAAGAACAAAACTGTCTCAAAATAATAATAATACACAAATTAAAAAACATTGAATATATATGACAACATGTTCTGTGTGCCCATGCAAAAAGAACTTGTGCAAAAAACTCTGGTCAGAGCTTTCAATACTATGTTGAATACAAGTGACAAGAGAATGCGATCTCATTCACAATTGTACAAAAAGAATAAAACACTTAGGACTACAGCTAACCAGAGAGGTAAAATATTTCTATAATGAGAATTACAAAACAGTGCTCAAATAAATCAGATAGGACACAAACAAATGAAAAAAGACTCCATGCTCATGGATAGGAAGAATCAATATTGTTAAAATGGCCATACTGCCCAAAGCAATTTATAGATTCAATGCTATTCCTATCAAACTACCAATGACATTCTTCACAGAATTAGAAAAACACCTGAATAGCCAAGGGAATCTTAATTAAAGTAGCAAGGCTAGAGGCATAATCTTACCAGAATTCAAACTATGCAACAAGGCTATAGCAACCAAAGCAGCAAGGTACTAGTAGAAAATCAGACACATAGACCAATGGAACAGAATAGAGAGCCCAGAAATAATGCCATCTTTGAAAAAGCTGACAAAAACAAGCAATGGGGAAAGGACTATCCATTCAATAAATGATGCTGGGATAACTGGCTGGCCATATGCAGAAGATTGAAGTGGGACCCTTACCTTATACCACATACAAAAGTCAACTCAAGATGGATTAAAGACTTAAATTTAAAATCCCAAATCACAAAATATCTGGAAGAAAACCCAGGCAATACCATTCTAAGAACAAGCAAAGATTTCACAATGAACCTGACAAAAGCAATTGCAACTAGAACAATTTTTTTACAAAAGGGATTTAATTAAACTAAAGAGCTCCTGCACAGCAAATGACACTATCAACAGAGTAAACAACCTACAGAATAGATTATTGGTAAATCATGCATCTGACAAAGGTCTAATATCTAGTATCTATAAGAAACTTATATTTACAAGAAGAAAACAACCCCATTAAAAAGTGGGCAAAGGACATGAATAGACACTTTTCAATAGAAGATATACATGTGGCCAAAGAGCATATGAAAAAATGTTTAACATCACAAATAATGTAAGAAATACAAATCAAAACCACAATGAGATATCATCTCACATCAATCAGAATGGCCATTATTAAAATGCCAAAGGAAAATAACATGCTGATGAGGTTGCAGAGAAAATGGAACACACATACATTGCTGGTGGAAGTGTAATGCTTTATGTCTATAGAAGCAAACCAGCACTACCCCAGGCATTTTCAAATGCCACCTAAGGGGGGCGATATTGCCCTGGTTACTTCCAAACCTGTTTTTTTGCTCTTTGTTGGCACTGTCTCAACTATGTGACTCTAACTTGTAAAGTTCTATATACATCTACACGAAGATTTTTGATAAATAGCCCCAACAGTCCCCTTTTAATGGAGGTCAAGATGGCTTCCAAAAGGTTTTTCTTCACCCAGTATAGTTTGCAAGGTTTCTATTTCTTGGTTTATAGTTTTTTCTATGGACTCCTATGCTCAAGCAAGCTACAAAGAAGCACAAATTTAAAAATCAGATGAAAATAGAGCTTCTCTGTTTCAATACTAAGGGTTTGTGTGTACAGTGTCAGTGAGGAGGGTGAATAGGAATGGGGATAGTGAAGTATGATTTAAAAATAATCTTAATTGAAAAGGATAAGACTGATACAAGTACAGACTCTACTGAGGACAGATTTTTATATAAATTATATAAATTTTATTAAAAAATATAAATTATATATACAGAATTTATATAAAAAGCTATATAAAAATATATTTACACACTTTGGGAGGCCGAGGTGGGTGGATCACGAGGTCAAGAGATTGAGACCATCCTGGTCAACATGGTGAAACCCTGTCTCTACTAAAAATACAAAAAATTAGCTGGGCATGGTGGCGCATGCCTGTAATCCCAGCTACTCGGGAGGCTGAGGCAGGAGAATTACCTGAACCCAGGAGGCGGAGATAGCGGTGAGCCGAGATTGCGCCATTGCACTCCAGCCTGGGTAACGAGAGCAAAACTCCGTCTCAAAAAAAAAAAAAAAAAATATATATATATATATATATATATATAATTTTTAAATTAATTTATTTATAAATCTACATATGAATATATGAATATAACATATTAATATTATAGCATATTAATAATTTATATAATCTATTCATAATTTATATATAAAGATTTTTATATAAGTTATATCTTCCTTTATATGGCATTCCTTAAATTATACTTTCCCATAAGATGTAAGATACTTATTCTGCCTGTAGCTGCCAAAGCTAATGATGAGTATAACTCTCTAAGAGAACAGGAATGTTTAGTAGCTTTCTCAGGGATGTTGATATGGAAAATATATCTAGGCAAATCTGCCGTATTTGTTAGCCTGCCACAGTTCAGAATGGCCTGAATCTAAAATTTACAGGATGACAAGCTAAGGTAGGAATGTAAAGAAGGGTATCTCTGGGATAGGACCAGAGATATTGGAGGGGGGAGTTGAGCCATCTTCCTTAAATGTGCACCCCACCCACTAAGCATCGACAAGTCTAGAACTTACTTTATTCTTCACTGTGGTTGTGTAAACATTTGTTTGTGTGTGTGTGTGTGTGTGTGTGTGAGAGAGAGAGAGAGAGACAGCGATATCTAGTTTGTAGTAGCATACAAATTAAATTCTATATATGCTAAACATTTAGTAGGCATGTGACAATCATTTACTATTATTATTATTATTATTATTGTATTGTTTTTAGGTAGCTCAGACAAGGAAATTAGAAACAGCAGTGAATGATCATGAATAATCACTTAAGTGAGTTCATATTGTCCTAAATTTGACACAGCTCTGATCTTTACTGGAAACAAATTATTTTTAGTTCTTTTTCTTGATAACAATATTATTAAGCATGGTAGACAACTTGTGTCTTGGGAGACATCCCCTTTCATATGTTTGTGACAAGAATGTGGCAGCCATTCTCTAAGGTAAAAATAATTGTATTCATAAAATTAAAATAGCTGCTCACATAAATACTGACTAATGCTAGAAAGTTGATGCTAATGCATAGAGGAGATATGTAAGATTTCCAAAGGGGAAAATTTCTGTTAATTTTTACATGTTTTTAGAAATTATAAAAACACTTTTTCATCTCCATCTGGAGCATTTAAAAGCTGTTTGTTTCAGTCAGTGGAACATCCTTGAGAAAACTGCTTACAAAACAATTTCATCAAGTTTTTTTAATGTGTCATCATTTATTTTATTTTTAGACAAAGTCTTGCTCTGTCGCCGAGGCTGCTGAAGTGCAGTGATGGGATTTTGGCTCGCCACAACCTCCACCTTGGGGTTTAAGCAATTCTCCTGCCTCAGCCTCCTGAGTAGTGCGTGCCACTGCACTAGGCTAATTTTTTTTTTTTTTTTTTTTTAGTAGAGATGGGGTTTCACCATGTTGGCCAGGCTGGTCTTGAACTTCTGAACTCAGGTAATTTGCCCATCTCAGCCTCCCAAAATGCTATGCCTACAGAAGTGAGCCACCATGCCCAGCCACCATCATTTCTTTTTAAGACAGTAGCTTTATTGTTATTGTTAGAAATAAATGGAGACCCAGCTGTGGTGTAAAAGTGTTAATGAATTAGAGAGGATTTAAACAATGTGGGCAGCATGATTCACTAAAGATTTCTTAAATTATATGTATTCAGGTGTGTGGTTATTATATGTATATGTGTGTATATATATACACACACACAGCCCTACACTTAGTTTTCTTAATGAAAATGCTCATCTACAGATTTTCACTTTATAACAAGACAATTTCTATGTAGATGATCCCAAATGATTATTTCAAAATATGATTAGGTTATATTACTAAGAAACCATTTGTTTCTAATTTCTATACTCTACCTGAACTGAGTTGGACTTAGTGGCTATGAGATGGTATAGTTCTCACTTCCTAAGATTTACCTTGTAGTTTTTTGTGTAATTCATAATGCTCATTTTTATGAAAATAATTTTTAAATGTTATCACAAAAGGCAGACATTAGTAAAAACTAGGATATTCAGAAAAATAAGAAAATGATATTCTCAGAAGTTTTACTTCTTGCTAATCACTGACATGCATATAAAATATTTTAAGAATAGCTAAACTATTTTGATACTTTGAACTGTTAT